ATATATATATATATCATGTAGGGAGCTCTGTTGGCCTAGTGGCAGGATGCTGCACTGCAATCAGACTCAATGGTATACCAAAAAAAACCAACAACAAAAAACAACACAACATACATATGTAATGTGTGTATGTATGTGTAAAAATATATAAAAGTATACACATTCATACATATGTAAATAATTGGGGAGTTCTTGTTTTATTTTAGCAAATTACACATAACTGCAGCCTGGTTTTTTCCCTTCTCATACTTTTACTGTTATATATCATTGGCATAAATATCTATAGATCTTACTCATTTTTGTGTATCAATAGAAAGATTGTGATACTTTGTCTTCTTAATTTGGATGTGTTATCAGGAGAGGCCAGTCTTTACAAGGGAACATTATTCTTGGGAGGATGGAGGGTTGATGAAGGAGAGGAAGACTCTTAACTAGATGGGTTATCTCAGTGACTACAACAACAGTGAGTTTAAGCACAGTAGAGATTGTGGTGATGGTATAGGATCAGCCATGATTTTAATCTTATACACAGTGTTGCTGTAAGTGGTAGTTGACTTGAGTGCACCTAACAACAATGACATTGTATTCTATTGATTAGATGTACCATGTTTTATTCAGTCATTCTCCCTTTTGGTAGACATTTGGTAGATAAGTTTTTAAATAAATGGGGTTTGGCACTGCAAACAATACTGTGGTAAATGTGCATTTATCTTTAAATCATATATTTGAGTTCCGTAATTTCACCAAACAGGAGTAAAAGGTTAAAGAGTGTGTTTTCTTGTAAGTTTGTAAAGTTTTGTGCTTCTACCATCAGGACGTGTAGTGCTTGCTTCCCTTCCTTTTTGTCATTCAGAGTGTAATCAGTCTCTTTGATTTTTTGCCATTTGTGGTATTGTTTTTTTTAAGTAACATTTCTTTCACTACACGCTTTTTGTATTTTATTAGCCTTTTAGTTATTTTTAATGAATTATTTCTACATATCTTTTGAGTATTAAAAGAAATTGGAGTTATCATAGTATTCTGTGTAAATTCTGTGCATAACCCTTAACCTCCCAAGTGTGTTTTAGTTTTTCTTATTTTCTCTCATATGTCTTTTGACTTTGTATATGACTTGTTTTGCCATACAGAAAAACAAAAATAAAAATTATGTGCCATCCAATCTCTTTGCCTTTCTTTATGGCTTCTGAGTTTACTTGCTTTCAGAACATTAATGGCATGTTTAGCCTGTATGTGGAATCCTGGGGGAAAAGATGAGCAGTCTCCTCTTGTGCAATTTACAGTCTCAAAATCTGATGGTGGCGTGCTCTGGTGGCCTAGTGGCAAGAAGGTGTACTGCAATGCCAGAGGTGCACGGTTCAAATCCACTAGATGCTCTGCTGGAGAACGAGGAACAATCTCCTCCTGTACCAGTCAGATCTGATTTGACGGTACACACACACACACACACACACACACACACACAAAATAATAAAATAAAAATAATTTAAAAAAAACCTGATGGAGAAACTCAGTTGTGTGTAGAAACTGAATTGAAAAGAATGAAAGAGTGGTGTGGTGTAGTGTGTAACTTGTAGTGGGCTACGAACCAAAAGGTCAGCCAGTGTTTTCAATCCACCAGCCAACTACTCTATAAGAGAAAGATGAGCAGTCTCTCCCATCAAGATTTACAGCCTAGATAACTCTAAGAAGTATTGTTCTGAGTTGGAATCAATCAACTCAGTGGCAGTGAATTTTGTTTGGCTG